CAAATTATTATTTGCTTTTATGGTTATTAGCTATCAAAACTTTAATTATTGTCTTATTTAATAATCTTGAAATCATATTCTTAAACAAAATTATATAAATTTTAAACATTTCTGTTGATAAACATGCAAATTTCCCTTTTTTGTTCATTTAATATATTTTAAAACATGACATAGAAGACTTCTACTTTTATTTTAGGATATGACCTATGTTGCACTAGGATGTATAAACGCTCTAATTTAAAGCTTTAACTATAAATCTTAGTTGTAATTTCTTTCCAATTGGTAGCAAAAATATCAATAATTTCTATGGTTTACTCTATATTTCCTATTTTTTCATGTAATGGAATAATTTGATGGAAAAACACATAACCTAAAATTACAGTTCAGTCACTATGTAATAAAACAATAAATAAAAGCTCCAAACATCGTTTCTAATTAGGAGAATAAGTAAAACAATCTTACTTTATATTTGTCAACTTCTGATTGTAATTTCACTGTCATTACAGAATGTTCTTCAATCTTCCTTAATCTGTCATGCCAATTCATCAAAAATTCCTCAAACAGATATGTCTTAGTCCTGTAAAATACCAAAAACACATTTTAAAATTCACATCCCCAAAAAACCAACCAAAATATGAGTCTAAATATTGTTTTTGAATCAAACCGAAAAGTAATCCAATCTTCATTGGCCATTTCCTGAAATCCTTGCTGAAACTCTTCATAAAGGGCCCAAATTTGTGCACAGCTCTCAATGTCTTTAGAGATACTATGTGCCAGAGAGAAATTAGGCTCTTCTAGTCCAAAATGATGGCAATCATCACTAGAGAAACAAATATTGAAATATTAAATTTTAAAATTAGAAAAACTGCTAAATATGAAGAAGTTATTTAACTGCATTTTGTGTGTGTGCATGTGTGTGTGAGTGTTTGATAGTGGAGACAGTCAGTGGGAAATTACCTACTTTAAATGAAAATTTTATTTTAACTACTTATATATGGGCTCTACTAAATTCATTAATAAAGAAGTTATTTAACTGCATTTTGTGTGTGTGCATGTGTGTGTGAGTGTTTGATAGTGGAGATAGTCAGTGGGAAATTACCTACTTTAAATGAAAATTTTATTTTAACTACTTATATATGGGCTCTACTAAATTCATTAATATGCATTTTTTTTCCAAAGGAGTCAAAATGGAGTTAATACATATAAAGAGATTTTTATATATACCATGTATATATATAAATATTCACAATTGTATAAATCTATGGATTAATCTGAGAAGAAAAGTCTTCTCAGTTGAAAGGGCTGGCTTGCTTCTAAAATATAAGATATGCTTCACTAATCAGTATAATGCATTTATTAAATATGGTACTAAAAACCTCCACTCACTTATGAAAGCAAGTATTATATGGACACATTTTTCTAAATAGACCAAACCTAAAACAATGCTCAAAGGTAATACTGTGTATTATTATAAGATAAACTGACAACCCATTTTTTTCCTTTGAAGTCTTTTTCTATCACTTATTTTGCTAGATTCATTTTTTTCTCAGAGGCATTGAAAGTAATTTTTCCAAAAACATTTTATTTTCCATTTTTAAATAGGATGAGATCACAGAAAGTGAGTATTCCAACCCCCTAGTATAACTTTTAAGTAAATTTAATTTTTTACTCTATTTCTAGATCTTTCTTGAAATTTGCTCTCTCTTGATATCTTTATATAACCCAACTACAACCCCTAAGACAGCAATAACATGAACCCTTATTATTTGTATTTTAAAAACTGCTGAAGTCTATGAGGAAAGGTATTAAGACAGCGGATATAAGAAAATTACTATCTTGATATATAAATATAAAACTTTTTTTCAAAATATGCACTATCAATTTTAAAGAAAAAACATACACCAGCTTTTTTCTTATGACTTCAAGATCATCGAACTCAATTTTTTTCTCTTTTATTGACTTCGCACTTTTATCAAGAGTATTATGTTGGCCAGCTTCAATAACATCATCGCCAGGCTTTAGTTGGTCCCAACGAGCTTTAAATTTTTCCAGTTCTTGATAATAGATCTGAAGACGTGATTTCACATTTCCTTTCATCACTTCAATCTATAAAACAACAGAGTTTTAACTTTATTTTCACATTTTTATTTCCAATATTTTGTATTTAAAGGTGAAAAAATATCAACACTAACTTTTCAAAGGATTATTTTCATTTTAATTATTGATTTCAAGTGCAATAAAATGATTCAAAGACAAAATTAGACCATAAATGTACAATAACAAGACCCTTCAATTATCATCATTTAGAAATCATTCATGTGATTAACAGCATCTACTATGACTATCAACAAAGGTGATGTGATTAAAAAAAAAAATGTTCAGTTATAACACTAAGGTCACAGGTTCAAATCCCCATACTGGCCAGCCGCAAAAAAAAGAAAATGTTTGTTCAATGACTGCTGGTTGGTCTACCTGAATATATAGCTGCTTAATAAAAGAAGGTATTATTTCCAGTCTCCCTTGTAGCTAAGGGTTGTAAGACTAACTTCTGATCAACAGGATATGACTGCGATAGTGCAATAGTTGTGAAAAACTTCCAGGTGCCCTTAATGATGGTGCCCCTTTCTTTTTCCTCGTCCCCACTAGGTAGCAAGTGGATGTGGTAGTAACCCATCTTGGACAATACCCTAGAGATGGTAGAGAAAAAAATTGAAGAAACCTGGGCCCTAGACAAAGTCACAAAGCAGCAGCACCACATCAGTTTGCAGCCTAACTTGAGAGAGAAACTTAGGCTATAATTTTTGGGGTCTCCATAAAAATAGTCAAACTGATATCTTAAATTTAGTAATTAAAAATAACATGAAGTTCAGAAATCAGCTTAAGCCATATATAGTAAGTAAACAGTAAATTCATTCACAAGACTGAAAATAAGGTTACATTTCAAAGGAAATATTTTCTTTTTGATATGGCAGGAAGTGAAAGAAAAACCAAGTGAAATGATCATGATTTATATAAAGTATTTTCCTATAAAAGCACTGAGGGAGGTCAATTTTAACTGCAACATTAAATTCTTATAAACTTGAGCTATAACGGAATAAACATAACCAAGAAATCTTAAGTGAGAAAAAATTAAGTTTCCATTTTAATAAAATAACTAAAAGAGTCTTACCTGATCTTTAATCATAAGTTGGTGACTTTCCATCATCAACTCAAATTTATCCCACTTAGCTTTCAGATTACTAATTGTTTCTAAACCTCCACCTGCCACAGTTCGTAAAAGTCTGTTTTTATCTTCAGCTTCTTGAAATAAGGGCAAAATCTAAAGGTTAAAACACACATGTGAAAAATAACTTATTTTATCAAATCTCTTAAGGTTTCACTTATATTTTATTTTTTGTTTCATGATTTGGTTTTCTAAAATCAAAATTTTTACCCTTCAATAATATGTTTAATCTGTTAAATTCCCAGATATAAATTTCTAATGCTTACTTCTTATATACAAGCTCACCTAAGGCGCTCTAACATCAGAGGTTAAAAGGAATAACAAAAGTAGTAATATTAAACTGAGTGAAACCATGAATCCATAAAGACAATACTATAGCTGTTCAAACTAAAATTCTCATTATAAATGCCTGATTCATAAGAAGATGCTAAAGAGACTTCCAAAAGAGCTAAGATAAGTGTTTATCTAAGAGCATGTTAACAAAATTATCCTACTTCATAGAGAAGAGAAAGCCATGAAGAAGGTATTTAAGAAATGGACAACTAAAGAAGTGAAATCAAACTCCTGAATTCGGAGTTTCTTACTGAAATGCTCTAAGTTGTGGTTAGTTAGCAGTTGGTTAAACTGAATGTAGGTCAACAGGTGCTCAACTGCTTGAATTGCTTCTGAGCCTTTTAAAGCACTGTAAAACAACAGTGTCCTGTAATTAATACCTGTACTTTTACTACTTAACAAAGCCATAAAATCCACTGAAAGATTTTTAAATATCACTGTGAATTAATACCTGTACTTTTACTACTTAACAAAGCCATAAAATCCACTGAAAGATTTTTAAATTAAAAATCACTGTACATATATAATAAAGCAGACAAAAAAAAGAAATTCAAATATATCTCAATGATCCCTGGGCAGGATCGGTTTCACTTGAAAAACAGAGAAAAGCCAGCGGAAAAACCAAGAAGCCATGCTGTACTAGGAACTAAGAGAAATAATAAGAAAAGAGAAAAAATAGAATAGGATTTTCATTTCCTACATGTAGACAGAACTTAGGTTAGCCAGTAAAGATATTACAGTAGTTTCCTAGTCTATCTGCCTCCAGTCCTACCCCTCAAGTCCACATACCAACAGAGAGACATATCAAAACAGAATTCTACATTGTCTTACTGCATAAAACCCAGCAATGACTCCCCAATGTCCAAAGAATATAGCCTAAGATCCTTAATGTGGCTCATATGACCCAGACTCTGCCTGGTTCTTTTATTATCTCATGCCACTTCCTACCTCACATGCTACCTCTTATAATACCTAACTGCTTCCTGTTCCTAGCATACAAATTCTATTTCTCCTCTCAGCTTCTGTGATGCTACACATTCATGTCTTCCTTCCCCCTTCATTCTCTATCTCCTCTGCCACCTCCTCAAATGCTTGAACTCTACAGTTTCCAAGGCTCAGGGTTGTCTGCTATCTACCAGATGGTATAAGCCAATCCCATGGCTAAAATATCATGGATAGAAAGATCTCTTTCAAATTCATATCTCTAGTTCTTACCTTCTACAGACATCTAAATCCCTGCCACTTCCAACCTCCAATTCCTTCCCTAGTCATCATCATGTCAGGTAATGGCAATAATACCTCCCCAAATGCTCAAGCCAAAATCCTAAGAGATATCTTAATTTCTTTTTCTCTAACCTCCCCTTCTACCTAATACATCAGATGATCATTTTGGTTCTAACCACAAAATATATCATCAGTCTTTCCAGCTCTCTCCATCTCCACTACTACTACATGGTACAAGCTTCCGTCATCTCCCACCTACCATATTGCAATATCCTAACAAGTGGTCTCCCTGCTACTCTTGTCTATCTCAAATCCATTTTCCACACAGCAGCAAGAGTCATCACTTCAAAGTGTTAACCACGTTGTATCACTCCCCTGCTTAAGACCATCTAAAAATTTTCTACTATGCTTAGAAAAAATTGAATTCCTTATGGTTGTCTAAAAATGCCTTCATAATCTGGACCTTGCCTACCTTTCCAATTTTACCTCATATCACTTTCTTCCTTGAACACTATGCTTTCTTGATAATTAACTTTCTTGATAATATTCACATCTATCTGTTCCTTGAGCATGCCAAGCTCCTTCTCTACCTTAAGATCTCTGTATTTGCTGTCCATTCTTTTCTGAATGCTCTGCCCCCAAATCTCAGAATGGTTAGCTCCTTCTTATCTTTCAGGTCTCAGCTGAAATGCCATCTCTCTGAAAAGGTCTCCTATGATCACTTACCCTAAGTAACATCCCCTAGCATACTCTTTCTCTCTAACTCCTTTAACATTTCACTCTCTCATTCTTTCTCTCTCTCACACACACACATGTATACACACACATACAAATGCACATTCCATGAGAACAGAGCATGTTCACACCTTCTAGCACAACGCCTGGAATATATCAGATGATCTATAAATATGTCGAATAAATGAATGAATGAATGCTTCTGTGTTTTGGCACCTCTTTTTAATGTTGAGATTATATATTTTTAAATAATCACATAAAATTACCTAATTTAGACATCTCTAGTACAGTAAAAAAAAAAAAGTAATAATAATAACTTTACTTTGTGAGTCTCACCTCTGGCTTCTGCTCTTGTAGCTTACTATATTGTAAATTTACATCACCTATTTCTTCCACAGACTGGGGCATAATTGTTAAGACTTCCATAGCCTCAGTAACAAATGTATTGATTTCATGTAAATGAGCTGAATAGGTAATATTGAAATATAAGAAATATTATTAATAACACCAAAAATACTCAATTACACAATTTATATAAATCAAGGAGTATTAAAAGAAATCACTACATGAATATATTAAATCCCAAATTATTATTTGCTTTTTCATACAACAAAATTTCAAAATGTAGAATAAGCAAAGACATTTCTTCCTATGAAAGTTTGTTTCATATTATACTTAAAATTACTGAGAAATAAATTAAACTGTATTCATTTTTAGTAAATTTTACTGAAAATTAGGAACTTTTACAGTCTTTTAAACAATATGCTAAAACATCTGTTTAAAGGAAAAAGGAAACAATGTAGTGTTCTGGAAAATAGTTTTAACATTTGGAGAGATAAGGAAAAATACATTATACAGAACATATGACAAATTTTCTCAGTATCCTAGGCAACAACTGATACTGGCTCAGACTGCAAATAATAATTTCAAGTTTTAGACCTCTTAAGGATTGAACATGGACTTTCCTACTTTTTAAAAATTATCATTTTAAGCAAATTTTATTTCATAATACTTTCTAGTTTAGTTTTGATTTTTAATCATCCCTGAGATCCATAGTTTATAATTACCAAAGTACATGCCTCTACATATAAAACTAAGTAAAAATAAAAATTAAAAATGTCTTTACCCTGGATGGATTTCTTCAAAGAAAGAACAAGCATATCAAATAACTTCTGGATGAGATCATCAATCACAGTCTTCACAGGGCTGCAATTAATATTTAAACAATCCACCTTGACAGCACTGAAAAGGCCAATGAACACACTTTGAGATAAAAATGACCAATTAGAGGAAGAGTATCTCATTATAACATTGTAATGATTTTGTGTAATACATTTTAAAATGTACACAAAAGTATTATTGTGATCTTTAAGCACATTTAGATTTAATTTAGCAAAAATGCCTCATACATACCATTTTGAAGTTTTCCATTGAACAATGATTTTGTTATAATACCACAATTTTTAATCATCTAATGTACCAATTTTTTTAAAAAGGCAGCACATTATGAATTACCAAAGTAGCAACAGAATATATTTAAATTTTTACAAGCTCTACTTGTCACAGCATATAATATATTTATTTAAATATTTATAAACTAAATGCACTATCCTGCACCTGAAAAACATACAATAATGATAAAGGAAAGAAAATAAATATATAGAAAGTCGATATAGATTATTAAGGCACTAAAACAATAAAACACTATTTTATACCTATCAAATTGACCAAAAAATGTAATGAATGGTTAATTTGTATCTTCAACAGTGTGAGCAAATAAGAATGCTCAGAACTGTTGGTCAGAGTTTAAAATAATGCAACCTTGGTGAAGAACAATTTACATATCAAATAGTTTTAAAATAGGCATATACTTTTTCTTAATAAGTCCACCTTCAGAACTTATCTTAAGAATATTTTCAAGGTAGATTTATATATAAGATTATATACAAGAAGCTTCATCAAAACATTAATTATAACAGTGAAAACTTGTAAACAAGCTAAATTTAAAAATGGCTAAACAAGTTATTACATTCCATATATTTAAAAAATCACCTTTTTGAGGAATAGTATGTCAAAATACTAATGAGATAGTGTTAAATAAAAACAGCAGGATACAGTACAATCCAAATTTTGTAAGTATATGTACTAATATGTTCAAAACACCAAACATTAACAGCAATGGTCTTTGTACTTTTCTATATTTTAAAAAATTTATAAAATAAACAGACTATTTTAATAATCAGAAAAAAGGCATATAGTTTTAAGAAGACTGATTCTTTCTTCTGAGGAACATCTCATATTTATCTTAAATTACCAACGTTAAAAAGATATGATTTGGAAATCTTGGCCAGAAAGATTATTTATATAGCTACTTGCCCTTTTTAAAACATACAGCCAGGGGAGATCCTTAAGAAGCAAGTTATATATGTTAAGTACTCACAATTTTATAATAAAAATATAATGTTCTCTTAATGCTTCATTTATTTATTCTCAATCACCCACTACCTAGTGAGTTTAAACTATGGTTCTTAACCATCAAAGGATATAAGAGCCAATTTGTCTGATAAATGAAGTTATATAATTTCTGAAATTCTGACACATAAAAAGTCATTATTTCTGATACTTGATACATGAAGACAGATAATTTTAGGAAATCTAAAACATTTTATACTGCATTTTGCTAATTAATTAACATAGAGTGACATAATTACAGCAAAGAAGTTGTACTTACTATCAAATGCTATGGACAAGACTAACACTCACCTTTCATTTGAAAATATTGATAATATGCAACTGAGGTTCCATTCAACCACAGATAAAGTGGGAAGAGGCCTCACTGTATATGAAGGAGGGCTACCCCAAAATTATTTTCTTACTACACTATCTGAAATATATCATTAGAATATGGCTTTTCTAATCTTACAGCATATTTCCAAAAAGTACCAATAAAATAAATATTTGTGTGTGTTTGTATGTATGTGTGTGTGTATCAACTCAGATGAATGTTAATTCATTAGCAAGAAATAGTGAAATGGAAAATGTAATGTGGCAAAGGCATTCTTTTTTTGTTTTGTTTAACTTTGGCAAGGAAGCATAAATCGGATTGCTGTCTACAGTAAGAGACAAATGGTAGAAGCAGCAGTAGAGGAAGCAATAGAGGTCCTTGAACAGCCAGGTGACAGCATAAAGTCAAAGAAGATAGGCGCATAAATCGGATTGCTGTCTACAGTAAGAGACAAATGGTAGAAGCAGCAGTAGAGGAAGCACTAGAGGTCCTTGAACAGCCAGGTGACAGCATAAAGTCAAAAAAGATAGGAAAGACCAGAGTAAAAAACAGGACCCAAAGAGAAAAGAAACCCCAAATGCAAGTAAAACAAAAGCACTACCTTCTTCTTACTTCAAACTACTGTTACTGGCACTAGCATTACCCCAAACACCCAAGCTCAGACCATCAAGTCAATCTGTCTCTTCTCTATTCTTTGTCCCTCATCCTCCTCCAATAAATAAGATCTTTTATTTCCGGGCCGAGACCGTGGTGCACTAGGGAGAGTGTGGCACTGGGAGCGCAGCAGCGCTCCCGCCGCGAGTTCGGATCCTATATAGGGATGGCCCGGGCGCTCACTGGATGGCCAGGGCGCTCACTGGCTGAGCGCGGTGCGGCCAGTCTCACAAAAAGACAAAAAAAATTTTTTTAAATAATGTCAAATATCATTAGCTGTATATTTTCTAGTATGCTCTGGCTATCTATCTGGTATGAATAATAATAATTAAGTTTCCAGTCAAGATGGCAGAATAGATGCTCCCCAGAGTCACTCTCTCCCACAAATCAACCAATTTACAACTATTAAAAGTCAACAACAGCCAAGCTGTGACCGCTAGAGCTCAGGGGAAGAGGAGGAGAGACCTAAGGAGTGCATGAAGGCAGGAGAAGCCACGATGAGAGGAAGAAAACACCATTCCTTCAGACCATTTGGAGCCCCAGCCACTTTAAGGCTGAAGCTGCTGAGCACAGGGAGCAGGAGCTGGCAAAAGCTGCAGCTGTGCCCTTCGAATGAAGTTGCTTGGAGGCTCAGGGGAAAAGAGGGTCTTGGTGGCCCCCAGGTCAGCAAGACTATTAATAGGGTTCCCATGGACCCACATAGGAGCGAGGAGCCACAACTGAAAAAAAGGAGCCACTCAGAGGCCAGTGAGTCATCACAAGGGACCCATGCATAGCCCCCCCTCCATGGGAAGTGTTTGGAGCACAGGCGGTAGGGGAGATGGGCCTACTGGGGGAACACTGGGGCACAGCAAGGACAGCTGATCTGCCCTCCAGTCAGAGTAAAACCACTCAGTGAAAACTGGTCAGGAATACAGAACTGCAGGGGGTGGAATTTGCTGAAGACACAGGCCCCAAACAGAGTTTCCACACAACCCAGGTGTACTGGATCTCACAAGAACTGGAAGTTCCTATAAAGCCAACCACTAAAACCTGAGTTGCACAAAAAGTCTTCCACAGGGAACCAGCAGCAAAGCAACAATTAAGCTCAACCACAGAGCTCAAGTACCAGTCCATAAAGGAAGTTCCCCCATTTTAGAAGTAAGCAAAAGATTGCAGATTGACAGGGAACCAGCAGCAAAGCAACAATTAAGCTCAACCACAGAGCTCAAGTACCAGTCCATACAGGAAGTTCCCCCATTTTAGAAGTAAGCAAAAGATTGCAGATTGGTTCTAGTGCAGAGTTTAAGTGGTAGGAACAGCAAATAATCCAACATAGAACTGAAAGAAAAAAACAAAATACCCACAGACCAGAGACAAAGTTCAATATTAACTACTAAATGTCTCACATCACCAAAGAACACCTATAAAACCTAAAAGGAGTAGAAGTTCCCTGAGATATGAAGTTCCGAGGGCCTTGGCCCTCGGCCCCCCAGCCCTCCCCCACCAACACCCATAACCAGCCAGCAATGACCACTGAGCCGCCACAGGAAGTGCCCTAGGCTCTCCTGAGCCAAGGTGGTGGGGGACCAAGGGCCTCAGCCATGCCCCCACAACACCCGCAACCAGCCCAGCAATGACCAAGCCACCGCTGGAAGCCCCCTGGTCTCCCATGCAGGAATGAGAGGGTGCCACAGGCCTCTACCCCACCCCTGCTCCTTCCTCTTTATCCCACCCTATTTCCTTCCCCATTCCCCTTCCCCCCCATCTCCTCTGCAACAACATCATAGAATGTAAAAAAATAATATCAATAAAATTTTTTAAAAATACCAATACTAATAAATACTAATAATTAAAAACAACTACAGAATCCGAGGTTCACAATTTAAATGACTATCAAAGTCATGCAGCTGGTAAGAACAATCTAACTCCAGAGACTACTCACTTAACCCCTACATATACTTGGTTTAATTATCAAATACATTTGTCTTATTGCACTACCAGTCAAGTTCTCTATCTTCTTCATTTTTGTACTCCTATAGCACATGGTTGTACATATTATAAATGCTCACCAAATATTTATTGAAAGGATAAACAAATGAATTAATAAAAGTGATATTATCCTTTATAACATACGCACTATTACACAAGGCCTTTCACAAGGCCTTTTTAGCTTATTGCTAAAAGTGGTTCCAAGTGGTAGGAATTTCAGAAAGCAAGGGGGATATATTCTCAAGTAGCTGGGTTATAAGACCCCCTCAGAGGCTTTTGTCTACATTTAGGGCAATACCTAATACAATACAATGCTGTATACATTCCAGGGCATTCTGAAAAGAAGTAGAACAGTAGAAAAGTAGAGTCAAATATCATTAGCTGTATATTTTCTAGTATGCTCTCATCAGTAGCTTCTGACCATACTGTGCTGATGCATATCAAATATTAGCTCCTCATACTAGATCTGGATAAAAGCTTCTTCCACCAGTCTATTCTACCCAACTAAGTCTCAGCCAGAAGAGCTTTTACAAGGGAAATTTCTTTTATTCTCTGTAATGCCCTATGCAGATGGTACTCAAGTGTCATAGCTGAGATAAGAGGAAATAAGAAGCTGATTTAACTTCAATACCACAGAGTAGAATACCCTTACTATCCATGTCAAAAGCTATTATGGTACATAAGTACTGCATTAGACTCCAATACCTTGGAAGTCGTTCTACTTCTTTCCCTTTTATTTTCAGTGCTTTGAAATTTTTCTCCCAATCATGTACAGTAAAAAGGTGCTTTTCCACCAGGGCTTCCATATCAACTTGCCCAATTACAATCCATTCCTATTTTAAAAATGAAAAACACAGTATTAAAGAAATAGAATAACATTTAAAGGATTAAGACTCAACTATTAAGACCAATAAAAGGGGGCAAGTGTGGGGTATTCAAGGAAATGTCAATTTAAGTATGTAAATGTAATCATTACCACATAGCCTACAGGATGAACAGGAAAAAAAGATTTAATTTGAAAATGTAGTTAGCATAAACTTTTTAAAGCAGATAATAAAACCCTTTCTTTAGATTTTCTTCTCAAATTAGATGAACAAAATACAAACACAGAATCACTTCTGCAAAGCCAAGACCCACTAGGAGCTACAAATCTGTAAGTATCCAAATTCACCCACTCAAGTCTAGAAATTTATAATGCAGAAGCACTGCAGTGGCAATCAAGGAATTGGTCAAATTCTCAGTCATATGTCTCAGGATCAGTACAAATGAGCAACGCAAATAGGGTTTATATGTGGAGTTAGTTGGGAGGATACACTTAAACAGAAATAAGTAGTTAACTCACCTTGATTTCATTAACATTTGAGGATTTCCCCTCAAATTATACTCTCTTCAGAAGAATTAAAATTGAAATGACCGTTATGTCACATTCCAAGTTGACACAACAATTAGGGAGGATACACTTAAACAGAAATAAGTAGTTAACTCACCTTGATTTCATTAACATTTGAGGGTTTCCCCTCAAATTATACTCTCTTCAGAAGAATTAAAATTGAAATGACCGTTATGTCACATTCCAAGTTGACACAACAATTAAAAAAAAAAAAATCTGGTTTCTCAATCTTCACAAAATAGACAAAAAAAAATTTAGTATAACTTTTTTCTCATCTGCAGCATAAATCTAGATTATATGAGGGTACTTCAAAAAGTTCATGGGAAGAGAACCTTTTAATTCTATTCTTCCACAGACTTTTTGAGTTACCTTCATACAAGAATCCACAAATATGGTTCTTTGCCATATTTTAGTTTTATGCCACATAAGATAAACTATTAATTGGTACATTTAATGTTAATTCAATCTGGTGAAATATTGCGATGAAAGGACGGAAAACTATGTGTTCTATACCTTATGTTGGTGTAAAACAGCTGACAATCTTCTAAATAAATCTTCTGCTTTGCTGAAAATAGTCAGAAATCCACTTGCATTTCTATCAATCATAATAGAAAAAATAGATTCATCTCCTGCCTCACCCACTCCCTTAAACTGATTTGGAATGCCGATGAATCTCTTCATTTCTCTGTAATATTTAGCTCGAATTTCTTCAAAAGGAGGCCTGAATTGTAACCGTCCCTGTCTGAAAGCAAATAAATAACTTTAAAATATAAAGTATTAGAAAATTATAAATTAAAAATTAAACTGGGGTTTAAAGCCATCTTACTTGTAAGTTAAGTCTATATTTATTTCTGGCAGATTTTCATTAAGTGCTTCTAAGCCCATCTGATACTGATGCTCCAGAGCTTTGTACAGTTGATGATTCCAGTGCTGTTTCCACGCATGCATGTCACTTGCTTGGAATCCCTAATACGTTATATTCATGTTTTTTATTTAAAGATTAGGTGGCAGAATGGATTTTTCATTTAATACTTTCATGTCATATAAAGCACAATTATAAGAAAAAAAACTCTCAGTTTAAATATCTTAAAATATATAACTCTTTAATTGCCACTTTTAGTATGAGTTTATACAGCATCAAATATGAAAATCTCTAATCCTCATGCTTATAAACAGTACACAAAAAGACAGTTTGTTGTATAAAACTCTTAGTCCTTTTTCAAAAAGTTTCATCAAATATACCTCTTCTCTTCCCCTCCCACTCCTTAAATAATCCATTAGATATTTAAAAAACATGAGAAATTTAAAATATTAGAGTGCTCAGGATAGTTAACATATTTTTTTGCTTCCATACAATCATAAATATATCAATTCTAGTACTTTTGCTTTTTCTTAAATTTATAAAAACTGAAAAATATATGTAAAGGTATAAGACACCTAACTAATATTCAACTAAGATCCCATTACCACATACTATGTAGCTGGCTCTGTGCTGGTCGCCTTTACGTACATTATCTTTTACATCAAAATGTGAATAGAACTGAAATTTTACCCAAAAGAAAAGAAAAAAATTCTGAAATAGTTATTTCAAATCATTAGGCTTCTACCTAAAGCTAACTTTATTTTCTATGGATGTTACAATCACCTAAAAGAGAACTAACAAATGACAGATATTTAAGCACCAAGTCAGAAAAACTACAAACTCTGAGTTGAGGAATTTGACATTCCATAAAACAAAGAGAAACTTATTTTTATATTTTCAAATGTAAATTCACTGTTGACGTATAATCTTTAAATATAATTCAAAGAATTCTAAATATACTAGGAATTTATTAGTAAAAATTTAAAGACATTTTCTCATCAATTCATATATTCACATTCTGAAAAGGTCAAAGGAGAGACATAAAGTAAAACACACTTTACCTGTGCTTCTACACTTGCTAAACCAGTTCTCAATTCTTGTAATCCATCTTTCCAACGCTGTTGCTGCCGAAGCAGATCAATATTCATAAGAACAACCACCTATTAAAAATTGAGCATAATGGTCTCAAAGTATCACTGGAAAAAATTTAACTATTCAGTGAAGAAACCTGCCACACACTGCCTTAGCCAAGTGATAAAGTTTAACTCAACCAATAATAGAACATATCAATGGCTAACTAATGCACTCAGAAGGACAAAACATTACTTCTGTGGTATTCCTGCCAAAATTTTATAACCTTACCATGAGAAAACATACAATCCAAGTTGACAAATATTCTACAAAATAACTGACCAGTACTCATCAAAAGTATCATGGTCTTGAAAAAGGGAAAATACTGAGGAGGAGACTACAGAGATGCAACAACTAAATGCAAAGTGAGCTGCTGGATTGTATCCAGGAAAAGAAAGAGAATGCTAGTGGAAAAAGTTGTAAAATTCAAAAACTGTCTATTTCCTGGTTATGTTAACTGTACTATGGTTATATACAACTTGATAGCATTAAAGGAAGATGGGTGAAGGATAAATGTGAACTCTACTATTTTTTCAACTTTGTCTCAAATTATTTCAAAATAAGAAGCTTTTAAAAATTATAACCTAATTACTTTTTAAGTAATACTACTCCTAGTTTATTTAATTCTGGAAACAAAATATACCTTTTCACAAAATGTAGTGTGCCATTTTCTCAGTTTTCTGTTTTCAGTGGCAAGTCGTTCAGCAGCCTTTTGGAGTTTTTGGATGTAGCTTTCTAATTCTTTAGGATTATCCCAAGTAATTTGTGACTTTCCTCCACTTCCTGCTTTTGTATTCTATGTTACAATAAATGAAATTTAGCATTTAGATGCATTTCGTTTTTCCAAAAGATTTAACATTCTACATCATAAGTTCAGTTATTCTCAACACTGACCTGCAATAAAGAAAACATATAATAAATTACCATTTCATAAATGGTAATGCAGACTCGTCAAGATATTTCGTTTTTCCAAAAGATTTAACATTCTACATCATAAGTTCAGTTATTCTCAACACTGACATGCAATAAAGAAAACATATAATAAATTACCATTTCATAAATGGTAATGCAGACTCGTCAAGACTGAGCAACCTCATTTCTTCCAGGTTCTCCCTCTTACAGCTAAAAAAACCCTGGACTTAAGACAACAAATAAACATAGGAAGACTGAAAAGAAGAATAAAAAAGGCAGCCTAGAAACCTCAGGAACTAAAAAATGATACACCTGGATTTCCTTATTGTCTTTTATATATCCAGGACAGGCCACTGAAGAAGACTCTGATCTGGAACCACTCACAGGCACAAACCAAAAAAGCTCCAAGAGAAGCCTTTTTCCTAGCCAAAGTACCAGGAAAATGGCAACCTAACAAAGGAAAATCTTTTCAGCAATACCAACTCTATTCTAGCCAAACACCAATGGAAATACTGTTCTTCTCTGCAGTTTCAGTGCGACAAAGTGGACAGCTGATCTTTCATCCCCCACTTAGCAAAAGTAAGCAATGCTCCAATTCCCCTGCCAAGGTAATGTCGCCAGGACTGAACAAGGAGCTAAGCTTCCACCCCTACTTTGTAGCAACAGAGGAATATGAATCAGCCCTCAACTCCTCCCTTGCTGGTGTCAATGGGAGCCAGTAGGGACCTGAGCTGAAGGCAACATAACAGTACAAACTCGTGCCTCACTTTCACAGGAAGGTGTCAGGAGGGCAAAACGGTGCACTGAGCTCCCCAATCCACTCATCTGCAATGAAACAGTCTGAGTGAGTGTGTTCCACTTTTATCAGGATGGTATCTGCAGCAGCCATAAGGAAACTGAACATACTACCTACCCAGCCCTCATGCTATACCTCAGCAGAAAAACTGTTTTCTAAAATATGAAGAGTAAATATTGTAGTGGATTGAGTCATATCTCCCCAAAACTCCCTGAAGCTTGACTTGTGTCCCGCAAGTTTTACATATTAGGAACTTGTCCCCCACTGTGACTATTAAGAGGGTGGGAAATCCTATTATGGTAATTGAAAGGTGGAGCCTTGAAGAGGTGACTAGATAATAGGACCATGCCATAGTAAATGGATTAAAAATGGTGGTCAGGGGCGTGTTTCTGTGGCCTTTAAAAGAAGAAGAGAATCTCTCTCGCTCTTTCTGCTCTCTCCCTGTTGCTCTCTGTTCTCTCTGCTCTGCTTCCCTCATCTTGCAATGTGAAACCCCTGGGTCACTGCCACCACCACCAGATGGACTTTGGACTTCCCAGCCTCAGAAACTGTAAGCAATAAATTTTGTTTTTCTTATAAATCACCCAGTTCCATGTATTTTGTTATAAGCAATAGAAATGGACTAATACAAATATTATCCAAAATATCATAATATCTAAAATGACCAAGATATATTGAAAATCACTTGTAATATCAAGAACTAGTAAAATCACAACTTGAATGAGAAAAACAAGCTATAGATGCCAACACAGAAATGAATCTGATGTTGGAATTTTCTGACAATTATTTTATGGCAACCATCATAAAAATGCTTCAAAAAGCAATAACAAATTCTCGTGAAACTAGTGAGGGAAAAAAGAAAAAAAAAGACAGAAAAATTTTCTCAAGAAAAAAACAAAATTATAGACAGAAAAAAAAATGGAATGTATAGATCTGAAAACTACAAAAACAAACATAAAATATTTGCTGGATGACTCAATAGTAGAGTGGAAATGTCAGAGGACAGAACTAGTATATTTGAGGACAAATCAATAGAACTACCAATCGGAACATAAAGAAAATAGAAAAGAAAAATAAAAATGAAGTCTCAGGGATCTCTAAGACAAAAGAGCTAAATATATACTATTGACATTCTCAAGGAAAAGAAGTGAAAAAGACTGAAAAACAAATTCAAAGAAATAATGACTGAAAACTTCCCAAATTTAGCAAAATATGTAAACCTACTGATTCAAAAAGCTAAATGAAACCCAAATAAGAAAAACTTAAAAAATTCCATGTCAGGCCACATAATAATTAATTTCTGAAAATAATAGACAAGGAATCTTTGAAATCTTGAAAGCAGACAAAGAGAAAGCAGCCAAATAAAAATAAGAAAAACTGGGCCGAGCCCGTGGCACACTCGGGAGAGTGCGGCGCTGGGAGCGCAGTAGCACTCCCGCACACTGAGGGTTGCGATCCGTTGCCGGACACGGAAAAAAGACAAAAAAAAAAAAAAATAATAATAATAATAAAGGAAAATTAAGAGAACAAACATAAATAAATAAGAAAAACTAAGAGAACAAAACTAATAAAGGAAATAATAAAAATAATAAAGGAAAATTAAGAGAACAAACATAATAAAGTATGATCCCATTTTCAAAAATGTACATATATTTTCAAAAATACATATTTAAAAAAAAAGTTTAAAAAAATAGACAACAGGGCCGGCCCGTGGCTCACTCGGGAGAGTGCGGTGCTGATAACACCAAGCCCCCAGGTTTGGATCCCACATAGGGATGGCCGGTTCGCTCACTGGCTGAGCGTGGTGCTGACAACAGCAAGTCAAGGGTTAAGATCCCCTTACCGGTCATCTTTTAAAAAAAAAAAAAATAGACAACAGACTGTTAAAAATGGCCTTCTCTTTGTGGTATGATTATAGGACAATTTTTTCTTTTTTTTAATCTGTATATTATAAACTTTCCATTAAAAACTCATGTTAATCTTTGGCACCAAGAAAAAAAGTATTTTTAATAAGATCTGTAATATAAATTACATAACTTCTAGTAAATTTTAAGCCTGAGAACTTCTATGCAGAAAAGAGTTAACACACAAGTATGACTGCTTTTCTTTGAAAACCCTGCTTTAAAGATTGGCCCTTAGCTGGCATCTGGGAACTTAAGATTTTGGAAGGGTTCCCAATACCCTAACCGGTAAGAGTGGCTCACTGTACCTAAATAATATGGTTTATGCTGAATACTTGCTTTTCTTCTGGGAGCCTGGAACTTTGGTATCAAACTAGGCAGAAGATGCCTATGTGACCAGCCACCAATAAAAATGTGGGTGTGTTGAGTCTCTAATGAACTTCCCTGGTAAGACAACATTTCGCATGTTACAATTCATTGCTGATGGAATGAAGCACACCCTGCGTGACTCCACTGGGAGAGAACTCTTGGAAGTTTGCCCCTGGTTTCTTGGTACTTCACCCCATGTACCTTTCCCTTTGCTGATTTGGCTTTGTACCTATTCACTGCAAAAAATCACTGCTGTGAATACGACTGTACACTTAGTCCTGTGAGTTCTTCTAGCAAATCACAGAACCTGGGGGTAGTCTTGATGACCCTAACACAACTAGTTATCCACTGTCAAATAAAAGAATAAAAGAGTATATTCCTCTTCTATTTATTTTTTCAAATATTTCATGTCTATAAAGACTAAAAATAGGGTCGGCCCAGTGGCGCACTGGTACAGTGCGCCGCTTGGGAGTGCAGCGGCGCTCCCGCCGAGGGTTCGGATCCCACATACAGACCGGTTCCCGCTCACTGGCTGAGCGAGGTGCGGACGCGACACCGAGGGTTGCGATCCCATTGCCGGTCCCGGTCCGGTACGGGTGCGACACTGAGGGTTGCGATCCGTTGCCGGACATGAAAAAAAGACAAAAAGGAAAAAAAAAAAAAAAAGACTAAAAATATAGATCTCAAAAAGTTAGTAGTCACACAGTAACATACACTTTAAACCCTATTGTGGGTTGTCCTAATTTCATAAACATGGATATTTAAATAAGCACACATAAAGAGCAAATAAATCTTAAATTATAAAATCAAGAGATGGTTGGAAAAGCACCAAAGAACTTTTGAATTATAAGGAGCTCAAACTTCACTGGATTAATAAATATAATAGCATATAACACAAACACTGTCTATATTAATGTAATTGATCAAAATCAATACCAAAATATGTAAAATATTATAACCATTTAAATCAGCAGTTGGAAAAAAATGTTACTTGTTAAGAGTGAAGGAAGTCATTGGGGATCAAAATAAAGTGTAGATCAATGGTTATGTTAAGCTGAAGGGTAAACCAAAACACTAAGAAATAAGAAACACATATGTAAAATCTAAATATAATAACATAGAAAATCCATTTACCTTAATTATTTGTTCAAATGCTAAGGCAGATTGTAACATCATTGGCCTCTGACTTTGAATCATTTGTTGATCAATAGAATTATAAAAATGTGCCACCTATAAAGTAAAAGTCCAATTACAATAATCAATAAAAAATAATAAATTTCATTTTTAAGTTTTAATTTTTCATTTTTAATTGCTTGAATGGAAATATTAATTTTTCTCATTCCTAAGATTATACAGAAAATGTTTTTCATCCCCAATACAACATTTACTCATGTATTAATATATACAATCAACATATATATGTTGAGTTCCTACAATTTGCCAAGTCACGTCCTGAGGGCTGATTAAACAGGATTATAAAACCTAGCCCCTAGAATCAAAAAGTTCACAGTCCCATAAGGAAGAGAGAAACCTAATAAAGCATGTTAAGTGCTAAAAAACTGAATTCCTAATTCCGTACCTCTCCAAGCCTGCTACTTCCTTATTCAGTATATATAAAATGATTTATCCATTGCTCAGAACAAGAATTCTCTGAGTTTTCCTTAACTCTTTTCTGACATCTCACATCAGCAAAAGCCTATTGCCAATACTTTCAAAATATATCTTGAATCCAACCACTTCACCTCAGCTCTATCAATCCCACCCTAAGCCACATACTCTCATCTCTTGGCAAGACTAGTGCAACAGTCTCCTAACTGGTATCCCTGCTTCCAATCACAGTCTTCTGTAGTCTATTCGAAGTGGTCTCTTTTAAACATACATCACATCTCTTTCTTGCCTACCCCAAAACTACTAACTTCCCAATACACTTGAGAATAAAATCCAAACCCAAAACTCTTACCTAAAAACTTTCCAATGGTTTTAAACAAGGAAATGATAGGATAGCAATGTGCAAATAGGTAGACTGAGGAAATGACTAGAAACAGACCAATTTATTGGCCTGATAATCCTCTAAGAATCTGCCCCTAGAAGGCAGGCAGAGGACCCTTTAATTAGAAGATCCTTTAAAACTCTTGGAAGTAACAGAGAGAAAGAAAGAAAAAGGGGGGGGGGAGAGAGAAAGAGAAAGAGAAAGAAAGGAGGGAGGGAGAGAAGAAAGAGAGGGGAAGGAAGGAAAAGAAAAAAATAACATTCTATTTTTCCTAATGCTTTTAGAATAAAAAGCAGTAACAATAATACCTTAAATTAATAAATTCCTATATAAGTTACAAAGCAAACTTTATAATGTAGTCATTTAGCAAAGCATAATTTCAGAAGAGTTAACAGTGCTATTCTACTAGCCTAAAAAAAATCAAAAGTAGAAAATAAAACCTTTAACATATTCTAGTTAAATGTAAGGAACTCAGAATAGGCATATTTTCAAAAATATAATTTCATACTTGTTTAAGAATAATTGCTTGCTTGCAGAATTTCTGTGCAATGTTCGCAACTTGCTGTATTTTGGCAGGAATAACAAAGCCAAGTGCAGAAAGCTGACGAACTTCTCTCAGAAGAATCACCAAACGATCTGAATAATGCACTTTTAACGATCCATCATTAGGATCCAATTCCATAATTCGACTGTTAGCCTGAATACTACAAAATAAAATGAGTAACCTGTTAAGTTTCTTGTTTTCTATCTTTTGACTGATGAAAAACATAATAGTTTTTACAACTTTTCTGTAAATCTAGTATTAACTCAAAGTAAAAAAAAACTACAGATTTTTTTAATTGTACATACTTAAAAACACATAAAACAAAGCATAATAAAAAGGAGATGCTTTAAAATGGCTTAAAATGATGATTTAGCTCAAACTTCCTATATGCACATAAAGCCTGTCAGAAAACAATAATGGTAACCCTTTTGGCCTTTATTTGGGACTGATCTTCAAAATTAGTTTGTATATACCAGCATTTCCCAAAATGTGTTCAAAACACACTGATGATTCTACAGGAAATTAAGAAGTTTGACACCAAAAAAGAAGAGAAGGGGAGTTTCATTGACAAATGGGAAACACTAGGTGTAACAAAGCTTTATGTATGTATTCTACCATACATAAAGTATTCTTTACTGGAGATATAATGGTGAAGTATGCAAATTTTCTGGAATTAGTTGACTAAAGCACCCTTTTTTTCTTTTTTTTAGCTGGTAGCATCTCTCATGTTTTAGGCTAAGAATGGAAGGAAAAGAGTCAAATAGCATAAAGTTACGATCAATATGCCCTAGCACCTCTGGTTCCTCTATTCTTCCTCCAGAGCCAGAATTCTAAATAAAGAAAAAAAAGTATTAATCCAATTTAAAAAGCACCACTTTTGGTCTAATTATCTTTTGTAGCAGTATCGGGGAAATAAACAGAACTTCATATCATGGACAAAATTACTTTAAAAAAGTTTCTAAAAATATAAGCAATAATATGCTGGAGAAAGTTGATCTGAAGTACAAAGAAACAATGGTTTTTCTAGACCATCCACTTTAAATCCCTGTTAGAACAACAACACTAATCAATTAATATATTCAACATAGCTCAAAAAATATTTACTAAAGCCTTACTATGTTGGGAACCATGAAGAAATACTCCCTGTCTCAAGGAGTTTAAAATTAATATAATTCACAGTTTAAAGTGTGTGTGTGTGTGTGTGTGTGTGTGTGTGTGTGTATTTATAATATGAATGTAAAAAGATCGAAAAACATATATGAGTACCAATAACAAAAAATCATGAGAGAGAAAGTCTAATTCCACAGGAAACAGACATGAGAAGCAAGGAGGAGGCTGTCAACTAACTATATCATCAGAGTTTCCTACCCTAATGACTTAAAAATGTTGATGATCAAAAGCTAACAAACAAAAAGAATTAAAGGAGAAGCAGCAAGTTTGGAGAAAGGAGAAAGATGATAAATTCCACCTAACCATTTGGGTTAATAACATATAGTTTTAGATTTTATAGTTTAGTATATTTATACTTACCATAAACCGGATCTGGAATCAGACAAACCTGACTGAATATCCCTGGACCAATCATCAAATTGCTCCTGTTCATATAGTTTAAACTGGTCTAAGAGATCTGCAGCACTTCGATGAAAGGATCGAAATCCTGACAAGTCAGATAAAAGAGCTTCTGCAATCTTGATAGTATCATCTACCTTAAAAAGTCGAATTACAAGATATGTGATATTTAAACTCTAACATAAAATAATGAGCCCCCTTACCTGATCTGTGATTCAGAAATTATTTTCCCATTCATCTACAAATAGTAAAACAGATTTGCCAGAGATTTAAGAATATCAATTCCTACTTTACCTCTGAATTATACAACCTCAAAATAGCAAAATACAAGAGGATACAAGGCATAATTTGAAGGGTAAAATAATGGAAAGTCAGGTCTTACCATATTTGTGCCCCACTGATTTTCAAAGGAAATTCCGAGCACTTCAGCAATACTCCTAAGTATGCTCAGGAGCTAAATGCTTAGCTAAATGCTCTGGTTTATAGCTCAAACAATAATTAGGGCAATTTGAATGTCAGCTGAAAGAGAAGTGCCTTTCCTCCACAACTGTACAAGAACATTTTAGTGCCCTTGAAAGCTGACAGAATGAAGCAAAATATTCCAGAAAATAAAACATCAAATGCAAACTTGAATAAATAAAACTGCCAAGTATGCTAGCTTTTATAATAATACTCTATGTCTTTTTGCTCTTGATTGCAGACTATAATCAATCAATATTTATTGTATGAGTCAAATGCAAGATATTGTACCACATATTAATTAGTAAGTCCACAAGAGTCCTAGGTCAATTTTGAAAATATTAAAATATTAAAATAATGATCTTTTAAATCTATAAATTCCTGTCCCTACCTCAAACAATGACATAATTACCTTTCACATTTACTTTAACTTCCTTTAAATCTAAGTGATTAAGTTACATAAACATACTTGCAGATAGTCTTTGCAACTACCAAGACTTCCAAATAATATTTTTTTAATTAAGAGTAAAGGATGCTTTCCTCTTGAATAATTTTTTTAAAGACACTTGCCTGGAACAACTGCAACTGGAATAATAAGTGCTTTAATAACTATCTCTATCCAAGGAATGAATAACACCATTAGAACCTGTTCTACACTTTTTCAGACTTCTACATTTTACATGAAAATTAGGTGGATATGCCAAGAAAAACAGAATATTTCACTACAGTTCTAACGTACTTTCCACATGCTTTAATTTAGCACATTTTACCATTAGCATTCTTCAACTTTTATTAGAAAAAAAAATACCTTCAATTCCAACTGGCGAACCCAAACTACATTATTGACAACTTCTGAAAGATTTTTGCCAGAAAGTGGTCCTGATGCATCACCAGGAATTCCTCGGCACCGATTCTCAAAGTCTAATCGAAAATCTATAAAATTTAAATCATATAAATGATTACACAGCTTTTGCAAAGATTTCCTAAATGCCTTCCATGTACCAAGCACTACGACAAACGTTGTAGATAAAAAAAAAATAGTAAGAGTTGGTCCTTACTTTTAAAGACCTTACCATGTATGACATGAGACACAGAAAGAAAATAACCTGTTATAACAGAAATGAGTAAGTTAATCTTCAACATAAAAATGTCAGAATATGTAGTCTTAATCCTAAATGGTGTGCAACAAATAAAAACGAAATCTATAAAAATATTTTCTCAAGCAAACACTATAAGCTCTGACAAACTTTTACCTTTAACTGAGTCCTCAAGTCTTGCTAGTAAAGTTTCTCTTTCTAACATCAATTCTTTGCTTATAGTTGGACGCTTCACCAAATCTTTATATTTCAGAAATGCTTGAAGAAGCTAATATAAAACAAAATGAGTATATGTTCACTCCAATGGATCAACTTAGTAAAAACACATGTCTCTTAAAATAACAAGGGAAATATTAAAAGTGAAATACTTCAACATTTTACCTGTTGTGGACTGTCTTGAATTTCTGAAATATAATTTTTTAATTTTCCTGCTATTTTTCGTTCAGCAGGTGCAATAATTTTTTCATATTGAGACACTGCAGCTTTCCACAAAGGCTAAACACATTAATAATATTGTTAGATTTTAATATTTTTTAAATCTGCCTTTAAAAAGAACAATACAAACAGGAAATTATATATATAAACACATATATATTCAACCTCAGTATATGGATTATATTGCACAGGATTCAGGCCAGTAAAAGGTTCAAATACTCGAGCCAGGCATGTAATTTCCTCTTCACCGGCAGGTAGAAACTGGAGAAGTTTCTCATGAATTGTTCTAACAGCCAAAACCTAAAAGATAAAATATCAAAACAAAAAAATTTATTTAAATTTTTAAAAATCTACATAAGTAGGTCTAAAATCTAAAGATGTTGGGCAAGAATTTTCATTAAGGTAGGTTCTCTGAAATTAACAATAAAACTGAAATTATAATCTGAGAATTACTATTCATCAATAATAAAAGTGATGCTCAAAGACATAACTGTATCATGACTCTAACATTAATAAGTGTGCTCAAACCTAGTAAAAATATATAAGATCTAAATATCTGTGAACTATATTTAAAGCTCCCAAGTAAATTTTTAGTCTTCCCTTAATATTGTAAAAACTTCTGACTGATTTTCGTTATTCTTCAATAAATTGCACTACTAATAATGAAATGACATATTAACTGCCCTATTATTTATAATTTACAAACAGCTGGAAAACAAATATCATTGTATTTTGAACTGAAAATTTCCACCAACAATCAAAAGGTAATCAAAAAGTTTAAGTAAAGGGCCGGCCCTGTGGCTCACTCGGGAGAGTGCGGTGCTGATAACACCAAGGCCAAGGGTTCAGATCCCACATAGGGATGGCCGGTTAGCTCACTGGGTGAGCGTGGTGCTGACAACACCAAGTCAAGGGTTAAGATCCCCTTACCGGTCATCTTTTTAAAAAAAAAAAAAAAAAAAAACGTTTAAGTAAAAACATTATAATTTCCCATTTGAGTTGGAAATAGCAGTATAAACTCATGATTTATTTTTTTCCTCCTAAAAAAAAAATACCTATTTAACAATTCTATGTACTGAGAAGGCCTAAAAGCATTGATAATTAAGTAACAGTTAGCACTTCCCTAACCACGTTGTTACAATATACCATTTCCCACCAAAAAGAACCAGGCTTCTTGGAGAAATAGCTAATTCCAGGTATGAGAAAGAAAATGTACAAAATGGGCTGGGGTAGGACATTTGTGAGGGGCATGAAAATTATCAAAGAAATATTGAAGTCACATCAAAGTTACACAAGAGCCAACTTGAAGGGGCAATCATTGCCCAAAGATGGAACAATTTGAGCATAATAACAACAAAGGACTGAACCACATAAAATATAAAAATCTATGAGTTCATAATGACACTACTAAAACACATTTCATTTGTTACCTATAAAACTTATTATGACACTAACCTACTGTTCATTGTCCTGAAAAGTGATAAATAATAAGAAAGAAGCAATTGTCTATACTGCCATTCCTACACAAACTATATTTCAGAGTAAGTAAAAAGTTGATGATAAAAATTCTTCCATATAGAAAAATCATCACTAATAAATGCAGAAGGAATGACAGAATTAGAAAATCACCATTTTGCAACCCCTCATGATCATCAATGGCTGTGGATCAAACGGGCTGATGGTACCTGAACCTACAGGTCAAATTTAACATCACTAAAAGTGGGAAAACCAGACACTACACGTCTCCTGATGTAATGTGTAAGAGCCATAGAGCACCACATATAAAAGAATGCTTACAAAAGAAAAAAAAAGGAATCAATCTAATCAAAGCTTTATAGCTAACTAGTATTTAATAGAAAAAAAATGGGAGAGACAGGAACATGCTAAATAACACAATATAATCAGACAAATTGAAAAGGTGGGAAGTGCTGTCTGGCATGAAAAATAGAAAGGGGAAACTGTTTTAGATTAAAAGTGACTTAGGAGACATATCAACCAAATACAACGTGCGAGCCTTGTTTGCAACCTGTTTCAAGTAAACCAACTAGAAAAAAATTCTGATACAACCGGAGTAAATGAACACTGGCTAGATATAAAATGGCATTAAGAAATTATTGTCATTTTGTTGGGTGTAATAGTGGTATTGTGGTTATTTATTAAGGGTGGACGCATATGATATCTCAGCTTTAAAAATACTCCAGCCAAGAAAAAATAAAAAGGAGGCAAGGAAGACAAAGATGGACAAGAACTGAGTAACATCAATGACTGTTGAAACTGAGTGATGGGTACAGTGGCATTCATTATACTATTTTACTTTTGTGTATGTTTGAAATATTCCATAACAAAAACGTTAAAAAAAAATCCTAACAAAGAACTATGGTTCCCTTAAGCATAGAGTGAAAAAGTCAGCTTTGCAATGTTCAAATAATCTCATTTTGCCTGTCTCTTGAAGCTAAATATAGAAGTTCTATACTGAAGATCATAACTTATGTGAATTAAGCAGCTGTTTCAAATATTTCCACTGAGTACTCCCTAAAAAGCTGTCCCTACTTAGAAACAATTTCAATAGCCAAGAGAATGTCTGAGAGCTTCCATACATGGATGAGTGGGTTAATTATCTTTTTTACAACACAGAACAAAATAGAAGTTCCCAACTAACCAGTCACACACTAAAGAAAAAGAAAGGAGGCAGAAACTAGCACTTAGTGCCCACTGTGCACCTGGCACTGTGCCAGATGATTACTATAAATTATCTCACATGAACTTTAACTCCTCTCCCCAAACTTAAATAATTTCTATTAGATGTGCAATGCTTATTGATTATAAAATACAATCACAAACAAATGAAGACCTATTTCACACTTAAAGACAAAGACCCAGATAATCAAACTGATACCTCTTCAAGGCGTTTGCCAAGTTTGTCAAGTGTTTCTGGGAAATATTTTTCATTTTTCCATGGATGAGGAACATAGCGGGGCCACACCTGAGCTGTTAGATGATTACAGACTATCACCCACTGTTCACAAATTGAAATACCAGCTTTCAGATTTTCTTTTACAAGATAATAAGGATCTTCCCATAGGTTCAAAGCTCCCAACTTTTTCTGAACAAACCTTCCAAATGAACCACCTAATAAAAGAGCAAAGATTTTAATGAAAATAAATGTCTTTTTACAGAATAATTACAAAATGCATGTGTTATAACAAAATTTTAAAAATATACAAATTAGCAAACCAAGGATCTATGAAATACCACATGAATATCCTTCAACTATCTCTGACAATAACAAGTATTTTTTTAAAAAACACATATTCACACAACATTAGTTTGCATTTTTGCATCATTCAGTGTATCATTCAATGTATCATGTACATCTTTCAAGTGTAAAAATATATATACAATTTTTTTAAGACTGTAGAATCTACCGTATGGATGTAGAATTACATAAAAAAATACTCAATTCCTATTTGTTTCTACTCTTTTATTATAAACAATGCTATAATAAGACCATTATACACACACCTTTATGTATTTATCTAATAATATCCTTAAAATAATAACGAGAAAGGTAGTTTCAAAAATTGACAGTTCAAAAATTTTAATATTGATGGATAAGTCAATATATTTTAAGTAATTTTTTGGTTCATTTCAAAATAAAGTCCAATAATATATGCATAAATAGTAAATATTTATGTAAATTTAGTTCTATCAATGGTCAAAGAATTTAACACACACCCGAAATTAACCAACTACATACAGGTATCTATTTAAATAATTCTGCATAATTTGTTTTAAAAGTTATTTTAAATAGCAATTATTAAATTAAGGAGCATTTTAAGTAAGGGCTTAAAAGAAAAAAAGAAAGTAAAATAAGACAGGCTTCCAAAATTCCAAAAGTTTATTTCTTTACTAGTACCTATGATGTCTAAGAGATGTAACATTCGTGACTCAGGATAATGATCATGTTCTGTTTGTCTCCACACATCATCTATCACATCCCGAGCAGTCTCCACTAAGTCAACAACTTCCAGTAAGGACAGACTGTCCAAGTTATAAAACTCCTAAAAACAAAATTCATTAATTTTTAAACATAATCATATTTGTACCTTGGGTAATATAATCAAAATTTTCCCAGAATTTGTCAACTGCTAAACTAATATTTACCAGATTATTTTCTCCTCCTTTTTCTACCAGATAATAATTACTTCTTTATGTAAATACCCTACAAGTTCCTCCACAAACATAAACTTCATGAAAGCCAGAAAAAAAAAGAATTGCAAAAAGTCTATTCATTTATTTACACACTTGGCCTAATTTTCTTTAACTTTGGATTCATTTCTTTTATTCACCCAATGGAGGGGGCCTTAACACCATATACGCTACCCATTGTAGTTAACATGTCTTTATTCATTCATTTATTGTGCTGTGTAATGCTATGATAAACAATAATACAACCATACTACAAGGTTTATTATTCTATATTTCACCATTGTTACCAAAAAAAGCTTAAAACCATTCCACACACTCCATTAAAATAATATTATTAAAATAAGTGGAAACAAGTAGAAAATTGCTATATATTTGCTTTGAAAAGAACCTATTTATACTCATATTTAAAATGGTTACTTATTTAATCTCTGTGTAGATACATCAAGGAGTAATCATTCAAACAGGCATAAAACTAAGACTTTTCATCTTTCAAATTACTTCAAAATGTTAATTTGAGTAAAGCGAACATTATTTCAAAAGAACATATCTCTGCATGAGAAAACCTCTGCTAGTATACTGGGGTTTTGTTTTTCACTACGTACCTGCAGAAAAGTAATTTTATTTTTGAGAAAAATATTTACTAGAGATTAGTAACTAAGTGTTGGTTTTCTAAGCTGTACTCACTTTAAATACATATCTTAAGTAAACTTTGCTACATATGAAGAATGTATTTTGTTCACAACCTTTAAGTAGATTTTAAAACAGAGGAAAATAGTAAAAATTGAATCTTAAAGTAATTTTATAAGAAACCTGATATATAACTACATATGAATCACATACTCTTGCAATTGTTTCAAATAATTCTTTAAAATAACTGGCTCTTTCTTTACTACTCTGTTTATTTCCACGATGAGCTTGTTCTATCCAAAACTGGAACTCATCACTTGGTGTAAGAATACCTGCAAAAGTGAAGAGAAAAAAAAAAAGAATTATCAATGGAAAGTGAAAAGCCAGAAAGTTATGTAATTCATTTACTGATTTTGGTTATGTCTACATACATGCATATTTCCTAAATCTAATTCCAATACCATCATGCTATTAAATACCATTGAAATGAAAATAATTATAATTTAACCAATAATTTTTTAAATTTAATTTAAAAGTATAAAAAAATTTAAATAGTTTTACTTTTAAATTTGTTTTTAAATTTCCCAATGAACTGGACAATTTCTAGTTGCCTAATCACATGCTGAAAATAAATGCACTATTCTTCTTGGTTTATGGACTTCAAAAAGCATGTAGTTTATTATTCAAGCAAAACATAAAATTATATCCAACATTTTAAAATAATTATTTGTATAAGTCATGCATTTCATATTAATTGTTCATATGAATAGTAATCTATAGCCACAATAAAATTATAATTAGACAGCTTCACATAAAATATACTTTAAAATAAAAGTTGATGGCCTATTATCTTTGCAAGGTATATAATCAGTCAGTCCCCATTACTTGCATATTCTGTAACAGAGAAGCAAAAAATTTGAGTCAACTGACACACATTCCAGCTCAAGTCAAACAAGACAACAATACTCTGCCTTCTTGTTTCCTACCTCATACTGTAAACAAGTATCCTTTTCTCAGTCTATTTAGTGTCACATTTTTCACATTTTTGTGCTTTTTCTTGGTCCCTTTTTATAATGTCACTTTTTAAAATAGGTCACTTTTTAAAATAGGTCCCTAAGCATAGTGCTGAAGTTCTGCCTAGTGTTCCTAAGCACAAGAAGGTTGTGATGTGCCTTACAGAGAAAATACATATGTTAGACAAGCTTCATTCAGACATGAGTTATGGTGCTGTTGGCCATGAAGTCAATGTTAATCAAGTACATATATTAAAGAGTCTTTAAACAGAAACACACAAAATAAGGTTATATATTATTGATAAGTTGATGAAATGTTGTAACCAGAGGCTCCAAGGAACCTAACCCTGTATTTCCCCTAAGAACAATGGTTTAGTATTCACTAATTCAATGTTCACAGTGATTTTATAGAACATAACTACTGTGAATAGCAAGAATCAACTGTATTTTCAACAAATTGCACATTGTTAAAGTTTACATTTTTCTTTGCTCCAAATCCATATAAATCTATTCATTTTTTAAAAGCTTATGTTCAGAGAAGTTCCAAAAGTGTGAAAAGAAATCTGTGAAGAAATATGTTCAGGGCCGGCCTGGTGGCGCACTGGATAGTGCGCCGCTTGGGAAGCGCGGGGGCGCTCCCGCCGGAGGGTTCGGATCCCACATATGGACCGGTTCCTGCTCACTGGCTGAGCGAGGCGCGGGAGCAACGCCGAGGGTTGCGGTCCCATTGCCGGTCCCCGGCCGGATGCGGGGGCAACACTGAGGGTTGCAATCCGTTGACGGACACGGAAAAAGACAAAAAAAAAAAAAAAAAAGAAAGAAATATGTTCATTTACTAATGTACTAAAGAAATAATCATGTACTTTCTCTGATTAAGCTATGATTATATACCTCTTGTGTCATCTTCCTTAAATTTTAATTTTGATAAAGTATTGTCTGATCTTCGTAGAACTATACCCAACCCAGCTTCTAGTTCACTCAAAAGACTCTGAAGTTTGGGATCAAAGTTTCTGCTCCATTCCTGATCCTAAAAAATAAAAACAGACAAGAGCAACCATTAACCGAAATGTGCCAATCAAATTGGCTTCCTAAAACACTGTCTAAAGAACTAACTCCAGCCCCTGGTGCACTCGGGAGAGTGCGGCGCTGGGAGTGCAGCAGCGCTCCCGCCACGGGTTCGGATCCTATATGGGGATGGCCTATGCGCTCACTGGCTGAGCGCTGTGCGGCCAGTCTCAAAAAAAAAAAAAGGACAAAATAAAGAAAGAAAGAAAGAACTAACTCCAACCCCTGTCTCATTTTTAAAGCTTCCAACTACCTCCCTTTCATAAGGGGGATAAAAAGTCCTCTCAACAGTTAAAACTTTATAAAAATCATTTACTATTTAAATGTAAAAGCTCATGTGGATTGCATTTTATACCTTTCTCCATATTTGTCAACAAAGCTTACTTTAAAATGAAAGGTTAAGAAAAGACATTTTAATTAAAACACAAAATACTGATGACATTAACAGTAAATAAAATAATAAATATTTATGTTTGTGTTTATGAAAACATTTATCAGAATATACAGATTTAAAAAAAAAAAATAGCATGACTATACAGCTACTTTACTTACCTTTAACAACATTGGTGCAAATACTTGCCGTACTGCTTGGTAAAGGGAATTAATAGGAGACTCTAACATAGATGAAACAAGAATGTTATTATGTAGATTCTCATCGGTAATTACTTCAGGTCGAAGCTTGAAAAACACCAGTACTTTATCTTTTGTGTCACCAAAATCAATCTAAAGTGATAAACAAGTGATTTTTAATGTTATCTTCATAAAATTTAACATTTGAAAGAATGGTTTCTCTAAAACGTGTTGCTGTAAGTATATCTCTTGGGAAAAATAGTTACATTTAAAAAAATAGTTACATTAAAAATAAATATATAAAACCAATCTATCCCTGATTCTTATGAACACTTGGGTTTAAAAACATATTTCCATTTACATGTGATTATATCATAAAGCTACTTTGATAGTGATTTATAAACATAAAACACCGTAATTATTAAACACACACTGCTAACTATTCCACTCCAGCCAGATTCAGTAATACTCCAGATCAAAGATGTATGCCCCAGGTACACAATGTTGAGTAGTGTAGGCATAAGGATGAACACAGAGGACGAGGTTGAAAATAAGTCTTTGATTTAACTTTCATCCATTTAGTGAGTCCCCTTTACTGTGCCAGGCAAGTTTCTTCTGTTTTACTTTGAGGTGTATATACCTTTGAGGTATATATACTCATATACATTATATAAGGAAATATACTCATATACAAGGTACATATACTTATATATATGAGTCCTGATGGCAAATGCACCAATTTTTAAGCAATCATGCCAGTAGAAGCAGTGCAATACATCAATACATCACATGTTTTCCACCAAAAAAGAATTCAAACTTTATTTTGGAATGTATCATATCAATTAGTAAAAATCTAAATTCCTAACCAAACTTTCCCTTGGGAAATTTTAAAATCAGTGCATAACTCAAAAAAAGATACACTAGAATTTACCTCATAGAACCTCAAAAGAGAGAAGAAAAAATTTAGAATAACTAAATAAGGTAAATAATTTCTTTTTAGTTATAACCCATCTGTAATGTTTTTTCTGTTGTTGTTTTGCTTGTTTTTTAATTAGAAAAAGACTACAATTGTTCTATTCAGGTGTATAGACAGGAAACCTCCTTCGATCAGGTGGGAGGCAAGCTTGGAAACTACATGCCGAAATGCGAAGCCAAAGCCGCTAAGGCCAACGCGGGGTGGGGGAGGTGCGGGGGGGGGGGG